TGAGTGTGTCGAACCTGATTTGCATAGACTCCTGCAGCCTGCAGGGGTGCCTGGAACCTTCCTTGCATGCTCCTCAGGAGGTCAGACAGGATGTGGGGGATCTGTGCATTTCAGGGGCTCTGCAGGAGATTGCTATTTGCATCAGGGTTGAAAGCCCCAGTCAGAGCTGGCTGACCCATCCCCAAAGGTTCTTTCAACTCAAGCATCCCAATGTCTAAAGTGTGCTGAGGCAGGCCTAAGAAAACACGGAAGATTAGCATTCAGCTCATGTGAATCTCACTTCCAGCATGACTTCCGTCATCAACTGAGAATGATCTTATGGAAAGCTGGGTCTCTGGGTCACAAGACAATATCCCCTCTCATACTTGATGATCACTGGAGGCTTGAAGGACAAAACCAGGCAGGCACACCAATCTGTCTGCCTAACACCTTCCAGAACTCTGAATTTGTCTGGAGTCAGACAGGCACTTGCTTTCTAGTTCCCCACAGACATACCACTCTGTACTACAGCCAGCCCTGATCCTCTCTCTATGTTACCTGCCTGAACTGGATTCCATTAAGCACACAGCCTTGAGTTTCTCCCAGGAAGCACTTGAATATGGGTCTGGAGCTCAAAAGACAGGTTTGGCTAGAGATGGTTGCTGAAAGAAACAGGGAACACTAGGCAATGATTCATACCAGGTCTCAGTCCCTCAGCTCAGCCTCCTCAGCCACCTGACTCACCTTCTTTCCTCACCAGCACCCAGCATTGCCAGTCACCATTCCCTCCTGCCACAGATGCAGTCATCAGTCCCTTGCAGAAGCCTGGGAGTCTCTCTCATTCTGTCGCTGGACGTAATATAAAAATCTCTTGAGTTCATCATACTGTTTTCTGTCTTCTCTGTGGCCACTCTGGTCCAAGTCACCAGCATCTTTGCCAGGAGGGTAGGGTTCCTTGTTGCTCTCTCTGCAGACATCATTGTCTTCCGTAGAAGCCCGTTCCACTCGGAAACCATTGATCATTTCACCAGACCATCCCCATCTTGCCTTTCCTTTGCATACACACACTCCCTTCCCATTGTTCGGGATACAGGCCAAGCTTATTCACAAAACCCTTCCCGGTCTGGCTCCTGTCTCCCCTGTAGTCTATATTCCAGCTGATGGGAACCTCTGCTGTCTCCACCAGTGACTTTTCTCCCTCTGGCCTCTAATACATGCCATTTTCCACAGAAGGCTTTTCTTTCTATTGGTCACTTGAGTGACTCCTGTATCTTTTTAACATCTCATTTCAAGCTGTCATGTTTCTGAAAAACATCCCTATTTCCCAAGATGAAGTAGGTCGCCCTGCTCTGACCTGGCAGAACCCCTTTACTTAGCCTGGTACTGAGTTTTTCACAGCACACTGGGGTTGAATCTGGTCACTGATTTTGCTTGAGACTGACGCTGTATGTAGAAGTGTTCCCTCTCTAGCTTGTTTGCTTTTCCTCTTCTTCATCTAGGAGATGCTAGGGATGTAACAGGTGCACAGCTAACATTCGTTGAAGATGGAAATATAATGCACAGGAAAGAGGAAGGTAAGAATAGAAGGAGAAAGCAGGACTTTCTTCTGCAACCAAAAGAGGACAAGAAAACATCTTGCCAAGGGAAGGGCAATAGCCTATAGAAAGGTTTGATTTTTTGAGGACTTAACAACTTTAAAAAGTGCCCTTACATATATAAATTTTGAGAAAAAGAAAAGCAACAATAGAAAAGCTTCTCCCTGGGAGCCTACGGCTACTACCAATCCATCGAGCCTGGTGTTTGAGACTTTGAACATGGTGTGTGCTCTTTCAAGGTGATGACATTGCTCTGAAGTCACAGAAATGATTGCAGTGAAAGGGTTATGGCTCTTAGTGGGTTGGCCACACTGAAACACACACACACACACACACACACATATACACACATACACACATGCAAGCAAGCACACACACACTCACACCACACACACACACATACACACACACACACAAGCACACACTGTGGAGCTAAGGGAGGTGGGTGGTTTTGAGAGGAGTTAGATAGATTAGTTGAGTTATTATCAAAATACATTGTATTAACTTCTCCAATAATTAAAAACCTTTTTTTTAAAAAAAATGTACTCCATCCACTGACCTTAGATGCAAGTTTTTTATTTTTTATTTTTTTGTCACTTTCACCATCCAAAATTTTGGGATGGGGGGGCAGTGTTGTGAACTTGCATCAAGAGAGCCCAGAGTTTGGAGCCAAGCCCAGCACTGCTGAATGCAAATCACTCTGTAAGGGGTGGGGCAGCAGAGGGGGACAAATGCTGCCTTGCAGAGTAGTTTGGAAAACTGAAGGCAGGGAGCCCAGACTTGCCATATCCCAGGTGCTCAGTAGCTGCTGAGTTTAAATGTGGCATGATTCAATTATTTAAGAGCATCCAGGCTGTGCTCACACGCAAATAAGGAGCTCATGAAATATTTCTGTCCTGGAGGGAAGAGATACTGTTTCTCTGCTGTCAGCTCTCTAACAGAGAGGGGAATGTGGCCCAGCATAGAGAACTACCAAGTCGCTCTGGAACCGAAGAGGGGATCTGATTCTCAGTGGATCTTGGAGACTGAGCACAAAGCAAGATTCTTCTCAGTTAGCCTCTCCCTCTGCAATGCTGTGGATGTTTGTGTCATCCTGGATGCCTGCATTGAAACTTAATCTTCAGTATGAGGGACTCTAGAGATGGGGCCCATGGAGCTGATAGGGGCAGAGCCTCATGAATAGAATGAATGCCCTAGACCTGGGAGAACTCCTTCACTCATGCCCTGCACCACATCAAAGGTGTCTGTGAGGTAGTAAGTAGACTCTCACCAGACACCAATCTGTTGCATCTTGTCTCTTAGATGCTCCCATGTCAGAACTAAATGAAATGAACTTCTGTGTTTATGAGCCACCTAGGCTATGACACTGTTGGAACTGTCCTGAACAGACTATGGCATGGTATTCCTGAGGAAGATACATAGAGGACAGCCAGTGACAAGACCAAAGAGCCTCATTTAGATCTCTGAATCCTTTTTTTCTTACATTCAGTCATTTAAAAACATTTTCTCTTTTCAAAAGGAAATTGTGTTCAATACGCATCCATACAAGCTAAAAGAAAAAGAAAGAGTTGTAAATCTTAGATATCACTGAAAACGGTCTGCTGTTCATCCTTTCAAAGTTTTTTCTAGGCAATCTGGACACATACTATGTTCTTATGCAACAAATGAGGTCACCCAGGATGGCACAGAACAACTGTTCTGTAAGGGTTTTTCCCATTGGACAGCTTTCCATGTGGGAAAGTAAAAAGTATCCAAGTTTTCCCTGGGTGACAGGGTGGACAACAAGTCGCTCACAGGGCCTTCTCTGAAACTTGGAGTTGTCTTTTGTCTCTCCACCTCCAGTGAACAATTTTAGAGTAAAACCTTTACACATCCCATAATTGTTCCTACAGTCCTCACGTTCATTCTTTGCAAGTAAGGGCAGTAAGGAAATGTGTAAATTATGATGCAAAGGTCTTCAGCAGGAGGGAGGGGCTGAAACTCAGCACAAAGCTTTTCCTTCCCATTCTGTGTGACCTTGACAGTTTGTTTGTTTGTTTTTAGTTCTTCGAGAATTTTGATCAATGATCATGCTCACTCTTCCTCCCCTTCTTGCCAGATTCCTTTCCCCCTTCCCTTCCCACCAAGTTTGTACCTTTCTTTCCCCTCTAGACAGCCCAATTTGCGGAGCCCAAACATCTTGGATGTGTGGCCTTCCATTGGAACATGGTATCTTATCAAGGACTACATCTTTAGAGAAAATGGACTCTTTATTTCTCAGCAGCTAACTATTGGCAATAGGGTCTCTGTGGGAGATAGAACTTCATGCTGACTCCCCTCTCTATGTTGGAATTTGGTCCTTCAAGTACTATGACAAGTGTTACTTCATTTCTTGTCACCAAGCAAAAACTGAGTGCGATGCAGCCCCCCCCCCCCCCCGTTCTTAAAAAGATCAAAGTCTAGAGGCAGAGATACAAGATACAGCAACTTCGTGTAATGTGTTTTCTCTCTCGTTTAGTGCAGAAAAACCTAACACTTGATGAGAAGAAAAACAGGTGCGAAGGTTACTTCTGATTGTAAAACTGGCACAATCTGGGAAGACAGTCTCAATGGGACTGTCTAGATCAGTTTGTCCTATGAGCATGTCTGTAGGGGGGGTTGATGTTAGAAGACCCAGCCCACTGTGGGTGGCACCATTCCCTGGGCATGTAAATGCAGAACTGTGTAAGTATAGAGCTGAGCACTGGCAAGCATGCATGCATTCATTTCTCTCTATTCTTGACTATGGATGTGACTATTTCAAGTTCTTGCTGCCTTATCTGCCTTGTTGAGATGGACTGTAACCTGGAGTTATGAGCTAAAACCTTCCTAGGTTGCTTTTTGTGAACGTTGTGTTATCACAACTAGTAACGTTGACAGAATTATATTAAAGTAGCCTATGTTTAGTGAGATCATTATATCTAGGAACTATGGTATATTAAATGATAAACATTCATCTCTTTTAAAAAGAGGTCTCATTTTTATCTATGTATATACTTATATGTGGGTATATGCACATGAACGTTGTGACTATGGAGGCCAGAAGAGGGCATCAAATACCTTGGAGCTGGAGTAACAGGCCACCTGACATGGGAGCTGGGAAGCAAATTTGGGTCTTCTAGAACATGTGGGTCTTCTAGAAGAACATGTGCTTTTAACCCCTGAGCCATCTCTCCTGCCCTAAACATTGGTCTTTTGATGCTCATAGTCAGACTATGAAGGCTACGGTCACGGGCATTACATCGTTGTAGACTGAGATAGAGGGAAGTTAAATAACTTGTCCAAAGGAATTCAGGTAGGAAGCACTGGAACTGGGGTTACCAAGTGGCTGAACACACAGCCTTTGGATTAGGAGATGGTATCAGTGTTGTGGTAACCTGGAGTAAACACTGTGATTTCACTTTCTAGGTACTGTGGCCTGAAAACCAGCCTGCTGACATCCCCCCTGGTGGGGTTCATGGTGGCCAATCAGTGCAAGTACCACACACCCATTGGCTTCCCTCAGATCCCAGTGGCTGCCCTGGCTGTGGAGAAAGTGGGTCGCTCCAGTGTATGTTACCAACTGGCTCTGTTTCCTCCTAAACCCACCAAGGAGCCGCCTTCGGTTGATCACCGTGACCTCACAGATGGTTTTTTCCTAGGCCACCCTAAATTAGCACAGTTTGACACTCTGGCATGTACCACAGGGTCTTCAGTCCATGTCTTTGTGAACCCAGCCACTAGGAAACCAGAGAGCCTTCCAGAAGACTTCAGGAACAGTCTCCAGAAACTAATGAGTCCAGCATAGTTTGTCTAACACTCTACATGGAATTCATCACGCCATAAGATGGCATTTAGGTTGTTCCCTGTGTATTTTTCCTTTTTAAGTCCTTAGCGTATATTTTTGCCCTTAAAATGCCTGTCAGTTCCTTAAACAATTTTATAACAAAGTCACCTAAAGTCATAGTGGAATACCTCCTGTAGCCAAGCACTTTACACAATTTATCACACAGAGCAGCTCACAGCTATGCAAGAGGGAGGCACTATCCTAACCCTTTCTGAGGAGTGGATAGTGAGGTTTCAGACAAGTCATTTGTCTCTATGAAACCAGCATACTTCAAGCTCATACTCTTAACCTTGGCACTGATGTCTGCTCCGTCCATGCGGCCCTCAACCTTAAGCAAACCCAGGGCCGTGAAGGTGGCCCTTTCCACATAACAGCACTCACTACCTGCAGACCAGTTTCTCTATATCCAGTGACATTCCTTACTTCTTTGCTAATGTATTACCAGCCAGGTTGCCTATGTCCCATGGTTTGGCTTCATTAATCCAATTTGACTCATTACATACCCTTAGCTTTTTTTCAGTAAATAGACACCTGATGTTTTTGTTTTTGTCAATGTGAACTGTGGTACTCGAAAAATCACCTTCCTTTTTCATATATCTTGAAGAGAAGGTCTCTCATGCCCTTTCCCAGTTGGATTCCTAAATGCTTTTTAAGCAAATAGAGACTCTTAGCTGTGGAGTTGAGTTCCAAATCCCTGCTACCAGTATGATATACACAAAGACCACATGCTAGCCCTTTGTCATTAAAGCTATTTAGTTTTGCCTAGGTATATGTAAGGGTTTTAAAAACACTTCAGATAAGAATTCTAAAACTTGGAAAGCTATTTTCCAGCAAACTGGGGTGTACAGGCATTGATCTGCCTGGTTTCTGGCTCTGGACCACTCCTGTTGCTCCTTGGAGGCAGCTCTCGGTATCAGAGCATTGCTTTATTCCTGGAGGGTCTCCCTTGTGAGTTGTTTCCTCACACTTTATAACCACTCTCAGAGGTGGGTATTCTTATTCTTATTTCACTGAACAATCAGGATAGACTAAAAAGAAAGGTCTCTCATTAGTCTGGGCCTCACCCATTCTTCTGTCGGGCCAGTGAGCCTCTGAGCCCCACCTGCTTCTGCCTCTCAGTGCTGGGATTACAAAGTGTGGCGGTCTGAGTGAGAATGGTCCCTATTGGCTCATAGATTTGAATACTTAGTCACCAGGAAGTGGAACTGTCTGAGGCAATGTAAGAGATATATCATGCAGAGTGGTCTTTGAAGTTTAAAGTGCCCACACCAGGCACTGCGTTCTCCTCTCTGCCTGCTGCCTGAGGACCAGGATAGGAAGTAAAGCTCTCAGCTACTTCTCTAGCCCGACGCCTGCCTGCTGCCACTCTCCCCATTATGATGATCGTGGGCCCGTCCTCTGTAAACAAGCCCCCAAATAAATGTTTTCTTCTAAAAGTTGCCTTAGTCGTGGTGTCTCTTCATAGCAATAGAACACAACTAAGACACAAGCCCACATCCTTCCCCCGGCAGTTTTTAAGGGTTTGGATTCAGGACCTTGTGTTTATGAGGCAAACTCTTTATTGTCTCCTCTCCCCGGCCCTGGGCCCATCTTTCTGTCACACCAATTCTTCATCTCATCCCAGTGGTCCCGAGTTTCTATGTTACCGTGTTCTGCCACCAGTTTTTAAATAGTGTAGTGACTGTAGTGTCTTTCAGTGAGAGGCCCTTAAGTCCGCGTCTATGCAATACAATGGTGAAGAGAAGAGTGTACCCTTGGCAAGCCCTGAGTTGTCTCCTGAATTTCCTCCATGCAGGAAAACAGCTTGTCTTAGGTAACCCAGGACAACCCTGATTGTCCTAGTGTCGTGACAGACCCTCCCCTCACAACTATGGACCCTAGAATGGGAACAAAATTGAAAAAGCAGGCTATGGCTCACTCTACTATGTTTCTTCATACCAGTGGGCATCAAATAGTTAGTCTGCTTGCTTTTTTATCACAAACACACCAATCTGGATCACTTATAAAGCATTCTCACTATTCTGGAGGCTGAGAAACCCAAGATCAAGGCACTGGCTGCTATGCCATCTGTGGGGCCGCCTTCTGCTTCCTCGTGGTACCTTGTGTGTCCTCACATCAGGAGAGCTGGCGGCTGGCTGCTCCCCTTTTATCTTGTCTCTGTGGGCACTGATCCTTTCACTTAACCATCCTCTAAGGAGCCCACCTTTAATGACATCATATTAGGTCTTCAGTTTAACCATCCTCTAAGGAGCCCACCTTTAATGACATCATATTAGGTCTTCAGTTTAACCATCCTCTAAGGAGCCCACCTTTAATGACATCATATTAGGTCTTCAGTTTAACCATCCTCTAAGGAGCCCACCTTTAATGACATCATATTAGGTCTCCAGTTTCAGTGCATGCATTTTAGGGGGACACACACAAACCACAGCAGCCTGGGAGGAGACCCCACTGGCTAATTTTGCAAAGTGGAGGTGCATATGCCTGTCATTCTGCCCACCTTTGGAAGATGTATTTGAGATGCGCTCTGGGGTCATTTGGGCATGAATTCTGGGTCCTATGGAGAGTTGGAATGTAGCCTCAAAAGGCAGCATTGACCCCAAGTCAGCAAAATTCCCTTGGGTCATGGACCCCTTCATCCTGTGAGAAGCACAGCCAGAGCAAGAATGGAGTGGATTTGTCTAAAGTCCAGGGTGGGCAGAAAAATGGCTCAGGATATGGGGAGATACTGGCAAAAGTTTCTCAACCCGGATACTCACACAGCCATCTCTTTACTGAGCTGTGTGAATCGAGGCACTACTTCCCTTTGTAGTTCCCGGATTTGTGAAATGGGGACAACAGTGCCATGATGATGAGTCCTGCTCACCAAGGTAGGCAGCAGGATTGCCCTTCCCTGGAGACAGTGGGCAGCATTTTCCCAGGAGAACTAACATGCTATGTGTGCCCACTACACACTTCAAGGTAGACAAATATACAATGGTTACTTTTCTCTTCCATGTTTCTGTAGTGAATCAGACACCATTTTCTGTTATGTGAGAAAAATTAACGGTAAATAAGGAGCAAGGGATGCTGGCATATGTTGGACCTAGAGTGTCCCCTGGAACTCACCAGAATTGAGTCGGAAGAGTTTCCTTGGAAACAGCCTCAGGACTAGGTAAATTCCAGGAGCCGAAGTACGCTGACATGCTTTCCAGCGTGAGCCAAAGCCAAGAACATCACACCACTCACTGGCTTTTAGTGGGCAATCCTAGCACTCTGAACTCACTTTAAGACTGCAGATAGAGCCAAGTCTCAATTGCATGTTCTTGTAGGAAGCTAGGATGTTATTATAAAGGTGACTAAATAAATCCAGAGCCTTAAAAAGAAATCGCTGGCTGTTCACTGCTTTACAAGATGTGCTGAGCTTCGGGCAGCTCTTGTTACGGGGCACTTCTGAGCAGGGATGACTCCCGTGCTCCCTAACAGGAGACTAGCTGTGTTAATCCGAGCAGGTGAAGAAAGCCCACAGACAGTGGGGCTTTTCTAAGTGCCTTTTGTTACACTCGAGTTCATTTGAAAACCTACAGTAAGAGACGAGGTACAAAATGTGTGTTCATGTTCTGCTTGGACAGAATATGGCTCCTAGCAATTAATGCTCTCAGTCACATTAAGCATTAAATAATGCCTTGTGACATTACAGTATTGCCCATTACAAATCAATTTTGTAGTGTTTATTCATAATAAGACTTGAAATGTTACCTAGAAACGAAATATGTTTTCCTTAAAACAGTCAGACCTTATTAGAAATCCGGGGTTTTACAAATCACCATGTTAACAGTTATGTCCCCTGGCTAAGGTTTTCTTTCTTTAAATAGTGTTAAATTCAGCCTCAGACGCTCCAGTCTCTGTGTATTAGTCTTCTTGTGTGCACTGGCTTGAAAGGAAAATCTTAATGCGCCAAATGTACCTAGTGTCCTACTATGCACAACCTAATAAATCAGCCATTTGCAGGGAAAAATAATGAGCACTTTGTAAAACTGCGATGACTGGATCTGGGTTGCACAATGACATTGTCATTTTGCTGAAGTTGGGGTTTCTAACCCTTCAAGAAGAAAAAAGGGTTATCAACTATTGGGTGTGATGACATAGCACTAGCACTTTACGAGAGGAAGGCAGCGCTGGGCACACACCTTTAATCCCAGCACTCGGGAGGCAGAGGCAGCCGGATCTCTGTGAGTTCGAGGCCAGCCTGGTCTGTTGAGTGAGTTCCAGGACAATCTCCAAAGCAATACAGAGAAACCCTGTCTCAAAAACTAAAAAAGATAAAATAAAAAAATAAAAAAGCCGGGTACAGTGGTGCACGCCTGTCGTCCCAGCTACTCGGGAGGCAGAGACAAGAGGATTGATTGAGTCCAGGAGTTCTGGGCTGTAGTGAGCTATGCAGATCGGGTTTCTGCACTAAGTTCGGCATCAAGGTGGTGACCTCCCAGGAATGGGGAAGAGGTGAGGTGGGGGGGGCACCAGGTTGCCTAAGGAGGAGTGAACCAGCCCAGGTCAGAAAGGAGCAGATCAAAACTCTCATGCTGATCAGGAGAGGAAGGCAGGCAGATCACAAATTGAACTCAGGGTCAGACTGGGCGGCATAGTGAGACATGGAGGAAGGCAGGAAGGCAGGGAGGGTAGCAGGGAGGGAGGGAGGGAGGGAGGGAAAGAAGGGAAAGGGAGAAGATGTGTCAGACAGTTTTATGTGGACTTGCCAACAAGCTAGAGTCATTTGGGAAGAGAGAGGGGAAAATGTCCCAACAGACAGGCTGTGGTGCATTGTCTTGACTGATGCGGGAGGGTGGTCCTGGGTATTATAAGAAAGCCAGGAAAGGGAGAGGAGGGCAGGGGAGGGGAGGGAGAACAAAGAGGAAGGGAACAAGAGAGAGAAGGGAGGGGAGAGAAAGGAAGTGAGTCAGCAGGAGAAACAGCCTATTTCTAGTTGAGAAGAGTTAGAAGCGTCTAGCCATACAATCATATACCAATGGGAGCAAAAAGATGTAGAAAATACACGAGAACTCAATGCTAAATCGCTGAGATTTTTGGCAATTAGACTTCAATTTGAGCCCCGGTGTGCGGACTCCACTATTTCAGGTCCTCAGGAGCAATGTGACAGACCACTGTTCTCAGTGTGCTTCGTGTCTGAGCTTGGAGGGCTGTGCAAGCAAGGTAATGTCTGCTGGTTCAGTAAGTAGGCTGCCCTCACCCCTCAACCCCTAGAGCCTTACATGGAAGACTCCCAAGATGACCCAAAAGAGAAGTCCTTGTAAAGGACGCACCACTGAGGAAGATGGCCAGGAAGGGAAGAAGTCTGCTTGAAGACAGAGGCAGTGACACAACAGAGCAAAAGCTGCAGAACCCCGAGTCACCGAAGCCAGAAGAAATGGGGAGTCTGCACTGGTTCTTTGGAAGGCTCTTTGTACGTGTGTGTTCCGTGCGTGCAGGAGTGCGTGTGGTGGCCACAGGACAACCTCCACTGCCACCCCTTAGGCACCGTGTGCACCTGTGTTGTGAGACAGGTTCTCTCACTTGCCGGGAACTCACCAAGTAGGTTAGGCTGGCTGCCGGCAAGCCAGGGCTCTGCTTCCTAACACTGAGGTAAGAGCATGTGCCAGCCTGCATTTAAAAACAAATACCAGGTGCAAACACTATCAGCTGGGTCGACTCTACCTGCCTGACACTTTCACCTCTGACTGTGGCCTCCAGCACCAGGAGGGTTAAGTTTCTGTCCCAGCAATCCAGTCTGTCATGGTAGTCTGGGCTACAGAAAACAGACACACACACACACACACACACACACACACACACACACACACACACACACACACAGAGTTCTAATAAACACCAAGACATGAAACATACCAGGACGTGGTAAGGAGCCAGTTGGGGCTTTTAAATGTGGAGTCTGAAAGGCCTCATTGAGAGAGAACCATACTTGTTACCCAGGAATGTGGGAGATGGGGACAGGGTCCATGTCCTGAATCTGAGGGGGCAGGAGGTGCAAAGGGCCTGATCTGGGACGGATCTTGGTGCTGTAAGATGTCATCCTCAGAGCCAAACATCCTCCATCTTCACGAGATCAGCTATTCCTACTCAGGAGAGTCTGTGAGGATTCCTGGAAGGCGGAGAGGGTCAGTGGGCCCTCGCCTGAGTATCCGGCAGCTCTTCTGGTCACGTGTATGCAATTCTGCCCTAACCTAAGTGAAATGTGGCCTTGCAGTTTGGGTCTTTGTGGCTGCGAGGAAGCTATGTGGTCCATGCTGGGTAAAGATTCTGCAGCGTGGCTGGTCTTGACAGTACCACTTCATCTATGCTGTGGATACAAACTCAGTAGGCCCTTTGCTTCCCCACGGTGAACTCTGGTGGAACCACACTTTGGTTTCTCATTAGGACATTGTTCATCTCACCCAGGGAGGGAATCTTAGCAACACTTAAATGTGCTTCAGGACAGCAAAGTCAGTGGGGATGGAGTATGGAGTGAAGGGTGGGAAGGGGGGAGTAAATGGACAGTGCTCAGGGGGAGACAGGGCTGGATCCTGTCAGGCAGGCCTCACAGGTGATGGTCAGAGGTCTGGATTTTCCAGTTAAAACCTGTCTCAGAAAGATGCTACTGTGAAAATGACAGCAAGTTCCCTAAATGCAGAGAATGGCATGACGCACACAGTGATGAAATCAGCAACTACAGATATATTTGAACTTTCTGATAACCTAATACATGTCAATCTGACCCATGGTCACCTATTACTGTTTAATTCAAGAAGCCACACTTTCTTTGATGTCAAATACCACAAGACACACGGGAAAATCCTCAAGGGTATCCTTTATTCCATTCACCTCCTGTTCAATTCCTGAGGTGGAATTTCATCTGTAAATTGTTACTCCAGCTAGTTTGGTCAGTGGCTTAGATTATCACCTTGTCCTGCTTCCTTGGCATAAGCTGTGCTGGAAGCAGGCTCAAAGATTCAGTACTCAACAAGCAATAAATGCCACTACGTCTGGATTCCCTAGACCTGCAAAGCCTCACACCCAGGAAAGAACTGTGTTTCTATTCTCTATTTCAAACACCAGACCCGCTCATTAACATGAAAAAAATTCTCAAGTATAGTTAGAGTGTTGACCATGGTCATACAGTTTTGCATATACCTGGCATTCATCTCTAAAATTCCTTTCTTGTTCACATTATCTTTTTTGATTGCTTTTTAGTATAAAAACAAAAAAACCAAAGATGTGGGATTACTGTGCACATTAGCAGGCCCATACAGAAAACAACACACAAGAGTTTATATACCATTTACAGTAACAGCTCAAAATATAAAGCATTTGAAATACCATGCCTGCTCCAAGGTTAGCCGACCTAGGACAATACAACATTGACTTCTTCAGACTTTTCCTTCACCACTGTTTAACAGTGGCAACAATACAGCCCCGAATCTAATAGTTCAAATACGATCAGTCACTCTGCATGGTGTGCCCCACCCCAGCAACAGAAGCCTCTCACATTCTTCCCCTTCCTTTAAAGAGTGGGGGGGAGGTGGGACTTCAAAACCATGTCGTAGCAACCATGTTGTAACAATGTATCCCCTCAGAGAACTGCAGTTGCCAAGATTTTAATGTGCTTCGGGGGAAATCCTACTGGAATAAACAGCAATGGCTATTTTCCAGTAAATATGGAATGAAAGCTAATTTTTACCCCAATCTGAGGAAGAATCTCAGTGCTTAGGGACACAACTGCTGTACACCTGACAACTGTAGCAACCACCCAGAACACCTGAAGAATGTCCCCACAGTCGGCCACAACAGGATGGGCGTCTTTCAGAGTTCATCGTGGTTTTTGGTAAGGTCTTCCCCGTAATTGGTAGCCTGGCTTCCCACAAACATGTTCCAGTTGTCTAGAATCTCCTCCTTGGTTAGCATCTCATCCTGTGGGAAGACAGAAGAGCTGTCAGGGGTGCTGGGAGCGCTATGCCTACCCCTCGGCATCCTGCCTGCTTTGTTCCACTGATCTGCAGAGTTACAAACAGCACACTTAACAGCCCAGCAGCTTCGGTGCTGCCTCCCGTCTCCTGTGACTGCCATGCTAAACTCGGAGCCAGTCTGTGAAAGCTGTGCTACGGTGCCTCAGGCAGGTCCCGAGAACCCAGAAGACGGCCTCTACAAGCAACGCGGGCATTCCCAGAACCGGCTAGAGCAATCCCACTTCCCTTTCATGGCCTCGTATGTAACATGTGGGCCTGCCAAGCTCAGTGATAGGGCAAGTGACAATGTCAGATGAGGCAAGAATTTTGTCTTAATCTTACTTACTTAGATTCTAACAAATTACTTTTACTATAAGTACTAGGGACGGAACCCAGAGTCTGACTCACGACAGCCCAGTGCTCTCGAGCTATAAACACTCCCAGACCCTAAGTACTCAGATACTTATTTCAAAGATGTTAATGTTTTAACATCCCACCTCAGAGGTCATGACTTAGTAATTTTAGTCCATAGCCCAGGAAAGATGAAGCCTAAGTTGCTCACTGTAGCTGTCACTGTACAGGCGTAAGTAATGTTCAGGTTTCTACTGGAGGGTGCAGGCACACAGCCAAATGGAGCCAACGTTATCGCTAACAAGGCAAACAAACGTAATCTTGAACAAACCACTTCCTGTCAATCAATGGCTCTGAGTGTGGAAGCTACCTTGTTTTTGTCTGACTCGTAAACCAGGTGCCGGGCCTCAGCCTGTGCGTGGTCATAGTCCTGAGGGAGGATCCAGTGGCGAATTTCATCCTTGTCTAGCTTCCCATCCTTGTTCAGATCTCGGAAATCATTGAACTGCTCCCGTTCGGACAAAACCCAGTCTGGCTCAGGGCCGTTGTCCTCGTGGGAAAACATGTCCGCTAGAAGGCAAAGCTGTTCTCAGTTACAGAAGACAAAAAACTTGAGGTTTTGGAAGGGTGACGACCCATGGAGAGTGCTAAATCACAGGCGGGTGCAGAGCTGAGGAAGGGCCACCCATCTACGCGTGATAGACACCACGAGGTGCCACAGGAAATCATGGTTAGAAGCCAGAAGATGAGCCCTGGGATATCTTCGTTCAGCGTCTGAGCCCAAAGCTTGTAAAATGGAGATAATAATGGCTAACACCATGTCTATGAAAACCAACGGGCTGCTTCTGGGAGAAACTCTATTCCATAAGCCTCTATTCCGATCGGCACTAGAAAGGTGAAAGCAAACAAAACAATACTGGGTACTTTCGCAGCCCAGATACATTAGAAGTGACCTGTATACATTTTCCTTTCAATCCCTTTACATCACCTGAAGTAGCTGCTGCTCTCCCATTTTACAAATGAACGTGATGTGAAGATGCAACCCACTGCTTGTTTGAACTGAGGCTGCACAGGGCCATAGCAGGCTTGCTGCCAACCCTCGTATCCCCTATGATTACTATTCCAGCCTGCCTCATTTTCAGAGGGCTTTCTTTTATTTTATTCACCCCTCTAACAATTACTATAAGCTGGACCATTATCTTAATTTTATAAAATGCCAGGAAAAAGGAGGAAGGGAACATTCGTACACTGCTTTTCGTTTGTTGTGTGCTTTTGTTTTGGGACAGGGTTTCACTATATACCCAGGCTAGCCTGGAACTCACTCTAGAGGTCAGACTGCCTGGAATTCTGAGACTGGCCTGCCTCTGCCTGCCAAGCGCTGGGATTAAAGGTGTGTTCTACTATGCCCAGCTCTCATACACTGTCTTGTTATTGTCTACTTACATATACTCCATGTGTGGTTTCCCCTTGATGGAAACACAATTTTGAAACCTTAAGTAGAAAAAAAATTCAAAACAGAAGAAAAAAAACAAACAAAGCTCTTTTTGATAAGATTTCAGTGTAGAAAAAAAGCTTTTGGTTATAAAGTTTCAATTTGGGAAAAAATATAATAATATTTCTAAGTAGAAAAAAAGCTCTTTGTATAAAGTTTCAATATAAAGGGAAAGTCAGTTATGAGCATGAGCAGACACTTGAAGGAAGCAGGAAAAGAAGAAAAGCCACAAGGTAGCTCTCCATGCGTTAACCCCAGCACTCAGGAGGCAGAGGCAGACAGATCTCTGAGTCCCAGGTCAGACTGGTCTACAGAGCGAGTTCTGCGTAACAAAAACCTATAAAACGACTCCCTTCCCAGCAGCCCTCCAGCACGGCTAGGTATGCAGACCCCAGGACTGCAAAAATGGCGTTGCTCGTGCCACTGAAGAAGCAGCTCATGAAGGTTAAACTTGGAGAGCTGCCAAGCTGGATACTGATGCGGAATTCCACCCCCAATAGCACCGTGGGAGCTTTTCAGAGAGGTTACGGCTGGTATTACAACAAGCACATCAATGCATGGAAAGGCCGCATCTCTGGAATTAACATGGTACTGGCAGCCTATGTGGTTTTCAGCTGCTGCATTTCTTACCAGGAACTCAAACATGAGCGGCAATGCTAGTTCCACTGAAGAAGGGTCACTATGGCCGGCTCTGCACAGCTGAGCACAACCGCCTGCCCCATGACCATCCGTGAAGAATTCAACTGGGGCTGAATCTTCAAATCCTGACTAAGAACAAGTGGCTAACAAAAGGTGACTGACCGGTGTCTGTATGTGTGTGTGCATGTTCCTGCGCACCCTGTGTGTGGTGGTCAAAGGTTTAGGTCAGGTGCCTTCATCAATTATTTCACCTTTTACTTTGAGACATGGTCTCTCTTAATGCACCAGTAGTTCGTTGGTTGCTGAGACTGGCTGGTCATCGAGCCCCAGGGTCCTGCTCTCTCTACCTTCTAAGTGCTGGGTGCGTGCCACAGCTCCAAACGTTTTACGTGGATGCTGGAGATCTGAACTCCCGATCTTCATGATTTCACAACAAGCACCACATTAACTGAGCAAATGCCCACCCCTGCACACTGATGTTGAGAAAGGGCTGTCACATTAACTGGTTTGAGCTTCATTCAACCCTGCAGGGATGGATGCTGTTTGTCCTCGTGTAACAGGAGAAAACTGATGCAGACAGGAATTCCTGAAGTCTCTCAGGGTCACACAGTCAGCGGGTGGGAAAGCCAGGGCTCCTAATCCCAATACCCTTCCAGTATACCACACTAGCAACTCCTTGGTTTGCCTAAAGTAAGAGCAGCCCAGAAATAAGTTCCACTGCCTGACAAGTTCATACATAAAGTCTTTCTCACCACTGGCTGCAGAATACCTTCCCCCCTCCACACAGTGCACACAATGAAATGTGTCTTTTAGTCAAAGCCACTCAGAATTTTGCCTCTGGTGGGCACCATCTCAAGGCAGAGTTCAGGAGGGTCATCAAGAGTCTACACTGTTAATCAAAAGCACCACATTGTTTGTTGTTTATGAGGAAGCCTTTCTCTCTGTCCAATTCAATCACTGCTGTCATGGTGACAGGTCTGAGGCTCTAAACGCTCCGTTTCCTTATGGACCTCTCAAGAGAAAGCTCCACCGCTTGCTCCGATGAGGTCCCTATTAGCATCCTCATTGTACAAAGCTACAGTCACTAAGATCACTTTAATTACCGAGGCAAAGAGCTACCTGGCTGTTACCCATGGCAGACAAGGAAGTGTTCAGTCCCAGGACCACGAATGACTTTTCACAATCAAAGGTGCTTGTTCTTACACATGGTACAAAATCATACAACCACAAACCAGAGGATGAGGCAACTTGGGCTCAGTATTACAATCTAAAGATAAGCAACTGCATCTGTTAGATACATTCACAAAGTTTTCCATCTCTACCCAGAAGTCAGTACCTAATCAAGCGATTCCTCCAGCTTTTACTTGAGACAGGAAAGAGGGCTCATACAAGATGATAGTCTGAGGTTAAGCCACGTGCCACAGTGGTACGGTCAGTGGGGATCATATGGAAATTTCCATGTTGACTGCAGATTTTTGTGCTTGGGGACTACTGGCTATTGTAGATCTGAGTTTCAGTCAGGCAATTCTGCCTGATGTTTCTCAAAGAAAATGCCAAATATGGTACTCCCAGCCAGAAGATGGGATGAGGCTCTAATAAGGGAGGATGAGTGGCTCTAACAAGGGACAACTGTGCAGACCTCAGAAAGGTTTACCTCTCTGACAAGGACCTGCCTGTAACTGGCAAATGACCACCCAGTCTGAGCTAGGCTAGCTGACCTACATCTAATTTTAGTCTTCTTCTCCCCCTCTATTTTAGTCTCCATGTACATTCGTGGCTCTCCAATACCACTTCCAAGGCAGTGTGACAAAGAGCACCCCTGAGCCCTGTGGTACTGGCTCCTGGCTGTCCTTTTGCTTTTTTTCCTCCTGGGGGAACTGTAATTACTCCCTTTGCACCAACAGGGCTGAAGGGCCCCCTGTACTGGGAGCTCCCTGCAGCGGGGCCACCAGATTGTGGGTGGGAGTCGGTGGAGAAGAATGCTGCCCAGTGTAGGGAGCTGAGCCACCGCCGCCAGCACTCACCAATGTACTCGTCCTGGTCCACAAAGCCATCCCCATTCTTGTCGATGTCCTCCAGCGTTTCCTAGGGAGCAATGGGGAAACACAGGATGGCCACATGCTTGAAGCAAGTCCAAGGCTCCCACTGCCCTCTTAGTCTGGCTTTTATGGCCAAACACTTGGTGACTCATGCCTCATTTCTCTTAGCTCCCCGGGCAGCCCATTACATTAAAAAAAAAAACAGGTGGTGGTTGGTATCCCCATATCATGTCTCCAGAACTTCAAGGGCAGAACCCTTTCTTATGAAAGTATTCTACTCTAATTAGTTATATTTGACTTTTAGTTATTTTCCCCTCCAGCATCAGTAACTTAGTGAATTACTGTCCATTGACTGAGCAACTCAAGAACATCCCAAGTCAAAGAAAACAGCATGAGTCCAGAGCACCAATCTTGCTTGAAGGCAAACAATTCCCCAGTGGCAAATTCCATCTCCACTGTCCTCTAGAAAACTAGTTATCCCTAAATGGATGTGGGGTGATAAAGAGAAATGATTCTTGGACTACTGCCCAGTCCTTGGTGTCATGGTAGTCTTGAGGCAAGAATGGACTCTGTCATTGGTTGGGTATCTCAGATACTCAGAGCTATTTAAGAACAAAATCTTTCCCCAACAGCTTCCCAGCAGTTGGAACTGACTCTGTCCAGGAAATAGGTGACGACATTTATTTAAATGTCATGAAAAACAAAGACACGTGGGTCTCAATGGACACTATGGAACGCAATGACACGCAGAGGCTTGACAAGCATCGACCCGATTATAAGCCTGACATCAGAGGCCTGCTCGCTAGAGACCACTGCTGAAGTAACAGCCTTTCTAGGCACAAATTCACTTAAGGTGTACAGGTTTTCTATTCCTTTCAAGCTGAAACAAACAAACCAAAAAAGGAAAATAGAAAAGAATTCCAGCAACAAAAAAATGAGCAGAGTTCAGTTAGCTGCTCACTAAGCCATCAGCTTTCTGAGAGCCTGTGTAAATGGTTCTCTCAGCCTCTGCAGATCTAAGCAGGTACATACATCTTTTTTTCCCCCTGGCCTGAATACTGAGGACTGGCTATCACATTTCTTCATTCTGTCTCTGTCCTTTGTTTGCCCCGTGACTGCTCCCAGGATGACCCTGAAGCTCTAAGATGGCAGAACTGAATACACAGGCAGCCTGGGTACCATCTAGTGTTGAGAGGGGATCTGTCTGGGACTAGCCTTCGAGACTAACTCTGTGCAAGTAAGGAACAGGCTTGCTTTGTGTTGAATGGTTTCAGCTGGGGTATTTGTTACTGCAGCTAGCTTATCCTGACTATTCCTGGGCAGACAGAGATTTGACATATTCATCTTCAGTTCTTCCCCAATTCCCAGCAGGCTGAAAGAGTCTCTCTTTTGGAAAGGGACAAGGTGAGGGGACAAGGTCTGTGTTTCCCCTGCTCTCACCAAAACTACAATTTCCTTCATATGTTCAAACTCCTCTGGGTGCAGAAAGGCAGTGAACTCCTCCCGAGTAGCTGTCAGGTCGCCATCAAGGTCTGAAGCCTTAAACCTTCTCTCATCCCGTGGCAGCATCTTTTTAAAGGTGTGATGATCAGAACTATCTTGGAACTCAGCGGGGTTTCCTGCAGGGTGTACAGGGCAATGACCAACCTTTGTAAGAGAGACCTTTTGTTCCAGATCGCTAGCTCTTCACACACAAAAGATCTTGACCTCCCGCTGGGTTCTCTAATGCCCTTTGCATCTCCCTTCCCTCCAAGGCATCCCATAACCATAGCCTTAGTGCCCACTAGGGGCTTTACAGCAAACAGAGGGTCACAGGCTTTGGACCACACAATTTCAGAGCTCTATTTACAGATTTCTGCATTCATCACATCACTTTTTGGTCTAAAACCTAAGAGGATTCCTTATGTGTTCTAGAATATCTTGTTTAAACGCCTCTGCTGGCTTTCAGGCTCTCTGAATCTGGCTTTGATTATCTTCCTTTCTCCCCAAGCCTGTCTCCCTACTGCCCACCAGGCATGTGGAAGGTCTGCACCATACTTCTCTAACCTATTAATCCAGCCCAGCCCACCATGCATGCATTTCTGTGCCTCTGCCCCTCCAACTCTGCCTCCTTCCTCACAGTCTCTCCATCTCTCCAAAGTGACATCCACTCTTCAAAACCCAGTTTCCAAAGCCCCCTTCCCATGAAGTGCTCCCTCATGATGGTTCCAGTATACTTCATCCTTACTATCCAACTGCAGCAGCAATCTGAAACTGACAGAAGCAAATTTTCTTTCTCCTTTCTTCTCTGTGTGCATCTCTGAAAGCTAAGTTTAAGCTGGGCTATGACCTGAGACACCTTCTCCTTGTCAGTCAAAGGAGGCAACCTGGTACATTCTTAGTAGGCAGAGGAGGATGTTACACAACAGGTTTCACTTTGAAGGTTGTGACATCTGGCTGAAAGGGGGTAGCCATGAAGACAGAGTCTCCTGAGCCTGTTCCCCGCTGCGCAATCTCCACTGTGCACCTCTTACCTAAGTAGTAGCCATAGGTAGCCTGCTTGTATTCTTCCCAGGAGATCCTTTCGTCTTTGTCCCGATCATAATCCTTCCAGACTTTAGCGACATTATCATAGATGTATCTTTTCTGTACCCGTTTGATCCAAACTTTCAGTTCCTCGGTGGTGACGAGACCGTCTCCATCACTGTCAATTCTATCAACAATTTTCCTGTAGTTCAAAAAAAAACCAAAAACTAATAATAATGACAATAACATAAAACAAAAAATATCCCTCAAGGCCATAATCAAGACTTGTTGGTCTTGGTCCAGCAATTTCCAGTCTTAGATGTTATAAAATACAGATTCAGTCAATCAGTGATGTAACGGCCCTTCGATTCAGCGAAGGGTCTTAAGGTTCATCCTTTGCAAGAATGATATGTTTTCTCCTCCCTGGAACCAGGGCCAGTGGCAGACATCCTGAAACCCAGATATGAACTCTGAATTCTCAGATTAGGACTTTGGAGACTGTCATTACCAACTGATGAGAACTGACCTGGAAGACAAAACGTATTGTGTTCCCCAATGTAGTCTAATTCCCTCACTTTAAAGAAAACCAAGGTCCAGGGAAGTGAAATGACGTTTCCAAGAGGATACAGCCAGTATTAGGTAGAGCTGGGTTGAGTACATACTCTTTTTAGCTTGGGGTTTGAGGCAACAACAGGGAATTCTATGTTAATCAGAGAATGAGGGAGTTGTTTTCCATCCTACCACCTTGGACTCAAGGATCTGAAACTTAAGAAGCCCGAGGCAACCAATTCTGTCAGGTAAAGTGACCTTTTTCAGAAACCTGGCCCTCTGGCAGCTGGAGGACCTCAGCACCCCTGCTATTGGGTACAGACCACTGTGCCCACTTGGGCCTGGGTCCCAGGAATTTCCAACTGGACTTTACTGAGGCATACTAAGCACTAGTCCTGGGAAAAATTCAGTCTAGAAATTCACCATCTGTCCATCTCTGAGTAAACAGTCCCTAGCTAGGAAAGCCATCTCTATGGGAAACCCCTGAACACCCACAAGTTAGCGCCCATGTTTAACAGAGGTTTTCACACACCTGGGATTAGGAAAGCCATCTCTATAGGAACCCCTGAACACCCACAAGTTAGTGCCCATGTTTAACACAGGTTTCACACACATAAATGAGGTCATATGGGCCAGCAACAACTCAGATTCTTTCTTTGGGGCTGGGATTCTATCAACCCCAGTGATAAATTTTCTTGTTAGTAGCAGTTCTGATTAACAGTCAGTACTGATTAGTTAAAAATGGGACTGAATCCCTTACTTCCTTATATAGTTCAAAATGTAACTCATAACTTTTGGTGGGAAAGGTAAAGAAGTGTGTAGGGGAGCATGGATGAACAAAGTCAGCATCTCCTACCCCAACCCAGCTCACTTCTCTGGAACCTGTGGACATTATTAACAACTTAAAGTGTCCCTTCAAACACAGTTTTAACAGATCTGGAACAAAGACTAAATCTCATGCATCTGCAGGCTTCCCTGGGGAAGACTTAGCCAGACACTGCAGAATTCATCCTATATTGTGCAGACAGACACTGTTCCAATCCTGAGGACACACTGGCAACATTGCCCATTGGTTACCCAACACCACTGAGAAGGAGAACCCTAGGCCAGCAATGACATGAAACCATGTAACCCTGCTTTGAAGAAAGAATAGCATTTAATTTATACTAATCAACACCCAGGGCATAGCTCAGTCCAATACACAGCAAGAACTGTTTACTGGAGTTATGAGTGATCTTGACCTCTTTTGAAAGGTCACAAGAGGAAGATCCTGAGGAAGGAAATGGAATGTAGATAGACCCTGCATGCTTTAGTCAGCACATGTAGATCTTCGTCCTGACTTTGGTCCGTATTTTCTGGGGGATCGCAGCCAGTCTCTGAACCTCACTTTCCCCATTTAAGAGGAAACACCCAAGTGACAAGAAATGTGTTAGGAACAAAGGAGGAGGGTGCCTTTCCTCACTCAGGACAACAATGTCAGTCAAGCGTGGAAGAAAAATTCCAATTCTCAGCAAAAAATGTTAAATGCATAAAGCCTCCAGGAAGGGCCTAGAGCAAATGGAGTTCCCCGCCAGCCAAGAGAAACCAGAGACTGGGTGGTCACTCCCAACTGTGGAAAGCAATTTATATTTTCTAAGATTGTATGAAACTATTGCAACTGTATGCAGCCTGTTGCTCACATCCCAACCCTTCAGAGATCTTAATGATGACATGTATTTCCAATAGATGGCAAGTGACAGACACAAAGTTGCCTGGGTCTAGCCGAATTCCTCCTTCAGCAGCCAGGACTTGGAAGGAGGCAACTAATCACACTTAGTCCCAGGCTAGACCAATCATTTCTAAAAGTCCTAGCTCAGTTCTGGCCCATATTACCTTAGAAGGGAAGGGTTCAGGCCAGGGACCCAGATGTTATTCTTGGTTCCTTCCTCAACATGGGGTCAAGCCAAGTGCTGCCACATCTGTCTGCATCTTTCCTGTCCTAACACCCAGACAGACTGAACGTCACCTAGCTTCTGCCAGGACTCCCTATCCGCCATGGTTACACTCTCCACTCTACTGTCAGGCTGGCTTTCCCAACGTTTGTGAACCAGGACTCCTTGGTTCACACAGATAACGTCTCTACCTCCTTGAGGTCCTTCCCTCTGCCTTTATTTTCCCTCCTCTTCTACCCCCCATTTCCTCTTCTCAGCACCCACCCTGCCTCACAAGAGTTCAAAACCCTGATAAACAAGTTGGCCCCTTGCTTCAGGAACACCTTCCGGTGACTATATACGAATCAACCTTTGAATCATCTCACCTGTAAGACCCAAGCACCTCTCTCCAACCTGTAAACATAGGGACGGTTTACTGTGTTATCAACACAGCAATCCTGAAATCACTGGCGTGTCCTCGCATGGGATGGCCAGCACCCTGAGACCTAGAACCCAAGGGTTCATCTTTGTACTTGCCAGATGTCAAACAGAGTAGCCACACAAGGATCAAACCCAGGGCATTCCATTAACACTCACAGCTGCCACTTAAGCTAACCACCCTGATGAAGAAATTAAATGAAGCCAGAGGTCCCAAGCTTAGTGTTTCTAGTTCCTAACTCTTCCCCCCTCCTCCTTTCTGAAACAATGCAAAATGGCTGCAATCAGGGCCCCAGAATAAATCAGTCTCCAGGGCCTCAATGCATACAACAGAGTGAGTTATCAATGGCCCCTATTGTTAAGTGCCTAACAAGAAGAGAAAGTACTTCCCTGCCAAATGAAGATAGTGTTTGGAGGTGACTTTGAAGTCCAAAGGTCTTTTTATCACAACAGGCAGATGTTGCACCTACATAAAAGGTATCATTTATCCTGTTCCACTGAATACTCAGGCCTATCTGTAGCACAGAGAAGGCTGTGTTCTTTTCAATAGTAGCAGAACAGGAAGATCCTCCACCCCCAGGAGCCAGGTTCTGGAAGCTCGAGGGGTCCACGGGCAGGAGTGCTGTATTCCTACTCACCTCCACCTGGCCTTCACTACTAGCTCCTCTAAAAGGTTTTCGGGTAACTGCTCCCCTGGAGAGCAGGGGAGGAGTATTGAGATGATGCCCACGTTTATTTCCCAATTCCAAGTTAGGCTCACAATGCACTACCATAGCCACTCTGCAGCCTTTTTTGCCCCAAACAACCAGTTGCCAAAAAACTGAGTGCCTCACCCGTAATGCTGGAAGCAAAAGCCCCAGGAATCAGTTTCCATCTCTGGGCATCCTCCCTCGTGTACTAGCTCCAATTACCCCTTTAAAAATCTGATTTCTGTGTCTCTACATGAGACTTCTGGGATGACTGGTCAGAGAAGAACATCTTGCCCTGACCCAGAGACAGGCCAAGAAATAAGCCTCTCCCTGCGACTGCCCCCTTCATTCATCTGCTTGATCTTGAGACGCTTTTAAGAAGTCTCAAGCACCTCTCTCTAGGGCTAAGGCTGTGGGAAAGAACTGGGGTACTAAAAGGCCACAGCCAACAAACTCTGGCTCACTCTCCTGTCTCTTCTGATGCAACCTAGAGGAGGGGGCGGGCCCTCAAGCTCTCGGCTCCCGCAGCCGCTGCCACGTTCTCGCCTCCCCGTGGGAAGCTATCCCTGCCGGGGCGTGGCGACGACCCCCACGCGGGGTCTGGGCGCCCGTTAAGAACTTTGTGCCGCTGAGCCTGGCTGCGGCCTCGGCGCTGTGACCAACTGTAACGATTTCGCTTTCGCTTTGCTCCGGAGGTCCCGCGTGGCTCCCTCTGAGGTTGCCGTGGGCCCCTGCGTGGTCCCCCGCGCGGCGTGGGCCGCGGTCTCACCCCAGCCTCTCCTTGCTCTCGTCCGGGCTTAGCTGATCGAATGTCTTGGAGTCCTCCTTGCCCAGGAAGGCCTCGTGATCGTACTGGAAGCTCTGGTTGTCCTCGGGCGGTCGCTCGCCCAGCTCCGAGTCGGGCCGCACTACGCGCTCCTTGCGCACAGTGGGTTTGGCCCGCAGCGTCAGCGCCAGCGCCAGCAGCAGCCCCAGGGCGAGTCCCAGGCGGCCACCGCGCGCCATGGTCGCGAGCAGAGAAAGGTGGCGGGGCAGTAGGGATTCTCAGCGCCGTGGCCACTGTCCCCTCCCCAGCGAGGGGCGCGCCCGACTGGCGCGGGGGAGGCTCGGGCCGCCCCACTCACGCGCCCATTGGCCGCGGCGCTGCTGGGGGAGGCCGGGGCCGCGGAGCCACGTCGCCTGCCTGGGTGGTGGGCGCCTGGCTCGGGTTTCGCCCTCGGCCCCTCCCAGAGATCTCGGTGCGAGGGGCGGGCCCAGACGAAAGGGGCTGCGGACTAGAGGGCTCTCTGAGCGACCGGAAAGAAGTTCTTTGTAAAAAAAAAAAAAAAAAAAAAAAAAGCAACAGATGTTCGGTCGGTGTGTTAGCTCTTCCTCCAGCTTAGAGAAGCAGTGCTCCTACTCAACTTCCAGATGAGAGCCCGAACCTCAGCCCCAGGCTTGGGCAGAGATGGGCACTTAAACCCAATTCAACTCCAGTTAACACAGTTTGCAGTGTGATTACAAGCACAAAGAGTCTGGAAGGAGGCCAGGATGGGCGTGGTCCCCTAGGTTAGAGAGGAAGGTAGTCTCAACATCCAGGAGATAAGGACTGTGGGAGGGGACCCGTGAGAAAGAAGTCCTTTCTAGCTCCTATAGGGAGAGAGACAGAAAGGCTTCCCAAAAGAAACAATTATCAGATTATAATGTTTTGGTTTTTGACAGTTGTCAAGTCATTTTACAAACCCACTACTTGACTTAAATCCCATCAGCATACTAAATTCGAAATAATGATGATACCAATCAGATATGGTCTGTATTATATAACTTTCTAAATGACAGAAATGTTCTCTACATGGGCTGTCCTATATGTAGTGGCCATTGAATACTCGTCACAGAGCCAGTCCAAAGTCATTAGTTGAGTTTAAATAGCCACGTGTGGCTAGTGGCTGTCATATTGATGGTGTAGGTTTGAACTTTTTATTTTCACACACACACATACACACACACACACACACACAAAATGCATGTAGGGCTGTTGGCATTGGGGGATTCCATTAAAGTGTCAGAGGGTCATCGGATCTTCTAAAGCAACCTATGACCTTTGGGGTCATACATCAGATACTTACATTGGGATTCATAACAGTAGCAAAATTACAGCTATGAAGCAGCAACAAAATAATTTTATGGTTGGCTACGGCAGCTTTAGAAAGTTTGAGAACTCTGCTCTAAAAAAGTTGCAGGAAACTGTGGTTGGAGAAGTCTCCCCCACCTCCAGCCCTAAAAGGTATAGTATCATCCATTTTCTGTTCACCTCTCTCACCATAGTATCATCCATTTTTCTGTTCACCTCTCTCACTGTCGTAACGTTCTCAAGTAAAGGTTATTGACCTGTGTTCCTTGCCCTCGCAATAAGGAAGTCAGGACATCATAGCATAAATGCAGGAACGTTTCTATAAAGACAGTTTCCAGTTAACAAATTAAGACAAATGAAGAACAAGACAGCCCATGGTTCTCCAGAGTGTGTGCAACATACTGGATGGAGAAGGGAGGGCTTCCTGGAGTGAGGACTTACAGAAATGGAGAACAAAGGTAAGTAGGGTGAGCCAGGCAGGGGATGTGGCTATGGGAGAGGTCCTATGTTAGCAGGCAGGGGATGTGGCTATGGGAGAGGTCCTATGTTAGCAGGCAGGGGACAGTGGTGTTGGAAGTAACGCTCTGGGACCTTGTACAACCCTCTCCATTTGTCAGACCTGGTGCGCAGAGGGGGGTGGTGTCCACTATTTGATAGATCCAGTGTTCCTCTGTTGATTTTCCATTGGGGTGGGATAAGAAGTGCTATATTTGAAACTAGAGATGTCTCAACTGTTGGTATGAACTTTCAGCAAAGGAAACACCTTACTTTGGGTATGAAGCTCTCCCTTGACTGTTAGCTTGGTGGGAATCAAATAAGAGGCACACCTCTGGGCGTGTCTGGGAAGCATTTCCAAGAGATGTTAACAGGAAAGATTCCCTCAGACTGGTCAGCTCTCAGATGTGGAGCTGAGGGGGAAAGCTGTGATGTTTGCCACCTTCACTTCATGCTGGTGAGTGTTGCCACTGCCGTCAGACTCCAGCTTCTTCAGGCTTCCAAGGTTAACTGAAGACCAGTGACTCTCCAGGCATCTTCTGACCCTAGATTAGGGCTGGGCAGCTATCAGACCCTCAGCCTCTCCAGCACACAGATGGCCACTGATGGACTAGCCAGCTCCTATCCTATTAGCCAATCTAATAATCCTCTTTTACAATACTTAGCTGTTTTGGAATATTTTTTTACACTGTGAAGACGTGTCTTTGCCAAGGCACCTTCTGATTGGTTTAATAAAGAGCTCAGTGGGCAATAGCTAGGCAGGAAGAGGTTAGGAGGCAGAGTAGATTCTGGGAAGAGAAAGGTGGAAAAGCCAGGAGACACAGAGAGGAACCAGGAGTCACATGATGGAAAAGAGGTAGCACTTTGTGATAAAGTGTAGATTAATATAAACAGGTTAATTTAAGTTAAAGAGCTAGCTAGGAACAAGCCTAAGCTATAGGCAGAGCTCCCATAATTAATAAGAAGTCTCTGTGCTATTATTTTGGAGCTGGCTGGCAGGACAGAAAAAGACTGGTTACACTTATGTTTTCTGCTGCTTCTTTTCCCTGAGAGAACCCTGACTAGTGAATGTCTCCGACACAAATGTCTTGAGGTAAGTGGCTTCGTGTCCTCTGTGTTCACACGGCAAATGGGAAATGAATTGAGTGGGGAAGGAAGAAGCGCTTGGAAAGGGAATGGGAGAGTGAGTGGAGACTGGGGACAGGATGCTGACTCATGGCGACCTCTGCTGTGGCCTGGCTGGGCTCACAGGCTTTGAACCAGGATGTCAGGAATGAAGGTGGCATATCTTTACCCTTGCTGCTGCTAGGCTTCCTGTCACACACTAGGGGCTTCCCACAGATTGTTACAAGGGCAGACTTTCTTCCCTGTGGGAATTACCCGCCATGCTGCGAATCCGGAAGCATTTGGATAATTTCCCCTAGAGTTTGCCTGCATTCTCTTCCTGCACCGTTTTTAGCCTTCCCTGGAGAATGAAGGAGTCCCCCCAACCAGATGGTCAGGAAAAGGGATGACAGGAGCTGAGGTGCCCCGCTAAGTGATAGCTTTCTTTCATTTTTAAAGCTCACGTTTTAGTTCTCCCCTGAGCTTATATGGGGAGACTGATGAAGCACATTTCCACCTCCATCCTTGATGAGGCAGAGGAGCCAAAAACAGGAGGAGCCATGCAGCTGGGGGCTAAACCAATGCAAAGGGAAGACAGTCCCAAACTGGTCAGTTGATAGGCTAGGTATGCTGGTCTGCCGCGAGTAATACCACCCAAACTCAGACTAAAAGTTAATAAAACTAAGAAAACACTATTACTTTATGCATCAAAAAGCCTTAAAAAAAAAAAAAAAACCTTTGTGAGGGCCCCTTTGGTTGGCATCCTGCCTGTGGTTAGATGCAGTGTAGTTCTCCTGTCTGTAGCGTCCTGCTTTACATGGGTTCCTAACTCAGGTCCTCATAGCTTGTTGGGAAAGCATTTTAGCCCCTGAGCCACATCCTCAGACCTCAAAAAGTCTTGAGTTAAATCAACTTCAGACTGGCTCATGCAAATGATTCATGGCATCATCAAGAAACCAGGTCTGAAAGCTTTTTGGTTTTCCTCCAGTAGCAAAGAAAAGGTTTCTGCCTGACTTTCCCACCAGACCCCCTCTCACATCTCATTGGCCAGAATGGTATGGAAATTCCATCATGGGTTAGATCAGTCAAAATTGACTCCATTGGAGCTGGGAAAAATACCCAGAATCCTCAGAAGTCCATCCTCGGGGTTCTGTCAGGAAAGAACAAGCCAGATGGTTAGAAACATCACACGGATTTGTAGTTAACTGCTGTGTTTAAAGGTTATTTCCTCATCTCCACCTTCCTGCCTCTCCACCGATCAGAGTCAGGCGCAGCTCACATGTCGTTTATTCCATGATGCTTTCCCTTAGATCTCAGCTCAGAATCAATAACTTCTGATCTAAAATGCCCAGAGCCTTTGCATCTCACACATAACTTTTTTACAGTCTGATTTGTACTAATGAATTCATTTCCATTTCTCCTAAGTCAAGTTCCCTAAGAGGAATGATCCTATATGATTCCTGTCCATATGCATAAATCCAGGGAGTATATCATTTACTGCCTTCTCATTGAAGTTAATCACAATACAAAAGCTTGCCGCCTGGCTGGGGACCATATTCTTTTGGTTCACTACTGCATAGTCACTATCTAGCAAATACCTGGCCCATAGTAGGTGCCCTGGTTACAACTGAGTGCTTAATAAAAATACTATGTCTACCATCTTTTGCTTCTGGTTAAGACAGAGTAAGGTAGAAACTGTATTTATGCTGTCTCCTTTTCAACACACACACATACACACACACACACACACACACACACACACACACACACACACACCAGAGAGCATCAGGCAATGAAAGACGACACTGGGCATAATCAAGGTAAATCTCAGCTTATTGCCTTCAGCAGAATTTCCAGATGTGGTACAGGAATGAGAACAGAGGTGAACCCAGAGTGACTAAGTATTGCTTGGGCAGTCATACTAGCAAGGAGAGAGCTACAGAAGATAACACCTTAGACCTGAAGCTAGTCTCCATTCAGTGTCCAAAGCACTGGCAAATGCTTGTACTCAAAGCTTCGAGTTTGGAAGAAACAATGAGTATGAGGCCCAGAACCTGTTCCCACTAGTCAGACCAGAAAAACACATGATTAATCGGCCACTGGGTGGAACGTTCACCAATGTCTTGCCTCCGAGGTGAGCAATAATCAGCCTTAGACTCACCATTGCTCCCCAGATGATTAACACCCAAAATATAAAAGCAAAATGTGAAAGATACGACTGTTGCAAGTAACTTGACTTCTTCAAAGAGAAAATCTTTAAGAAAACTTATCTGTATAGAATACAGAAAATACAAGGGGAAGGGGTCCTCAACCTTTCTAATGCTGTGATCCTTTAATACACTTTCTTGTATTTTGGTGACCCCCCTATAATATTATTTTTGTTGCTACTTTATAACTGTAATTTCGCTACTATTATGAATCATGATGTAAATATCTGTGTTTTCCAAAGGTCTTAGGAGACCCCTGTAAAGGCTCATTTGTCCCCTA